AAGGGAACAAGGCTAATTTTTAATTCAATAATCAAAGAGTAACAATCCTAATTAGCTCAATGCAAATAGAGGCACAATCTAATCCAACTACTACAACATAAATCTTAGCCTAAAAGACTTGAATCCCCAATGAAAACCTAAGCTTCCGCATTGCCCCAGATTCCAATTAATCTCTATCTATGAAACACAGTGCTTATCAGTAGGATCCAAACTAGGCTTCTCAATACACTCATCTCGGGTAGCATCAGGGTAAACCTGATGAGCTCTCAGAGCCAATTCCAAGCTTCTCCAAAAGTTCCCTAATAAGAACACCAGCCAAGTAAGAAATTACAGAGGTCAAAGCTCCAGTGCTGAGATAGTAAAGCACTGTTTTGAGATATGGTATGTAAGTATTTGGCCTCTGGATGTATGTTTTTGTGATGGCCAGAAGAGTGATGCATATTACAGCCGCTCCGGCAACCGCTGCAAGCGCCACATTCTTGTTGTTGACCTCGTAGAAGGTCAAGCCATACGCTAATGGTGGCACTACCCCAAATATGATGAATGATAATATGGCTATGCACAGATGAAGATAGAAATTTTCCCTCTTCCCCAGGGAAAGATAGTATCGATCCACAACTTCATTTGTACTTGGTTCCTCGGCTTCAGGTCCCAGATCTGCAAATCCATGTGTAAGTTTCAAAGCCAGCAGGTTTTTTTTTTTTTTGGCACAGTACATAAAGTGTGAACTGAACTACAATGGCTTTATATTTTATATCAAATATTGACATATTGATTGAGTAATAGGGATATTGAAATGGATATTGATGATAAATAGCTGTAGCTTCAACCTAAATGTGTGTTGAAAGAAACTCACATGATGAACAAGGATGAAAAGTCCTCCAATCAGGTTTGCAAGAGACAAAGCTATAATGCTCACTGAAAATTCAATTCGGCGAGTAGAAGAATATCATTAGATCAAAGTAATAACGCACACAAACTCAAATATAATAGCTATTGCTTTGTTGTATGTTTATTAATTAAAACATCTTAGAATTTTTTAAACATGCCATCTAATTGGTGAACTGATGGTCATCTAATTTGTGTATTGTTTCAATCTAGTGCCTCACGTTTGCCTGTGTTAAACTAATCTTTAAACCTTTTATTCTTTTGTGTTCTACAACGCCGTCCGATCTAAATGACACTAATTTGGCATACGTGTATCATAACCCGTAAGATATAGATCAGAAGTTCATGATACACATTATACCAAAAAATTAACATCGTCAACTTTATGATGATATGCAATAATTCCTTTTATTAATATGCATGCTGATACGCTAAATTACCATAAGTGAACAAAGTTCATGACTTATTTAAAGCCTAGAAATTTTTAGGAGTTAGATTTGATACCACAAGACAGAGTGAGAATCAAAGTGAAGACCCTTTGCCACGCGTTTTGAGATATTGACTTATTTTAAACAGAACACTAATCCAGTAGTCTTGTTGAAAAATGATTTCAGAAGCAAAAGAAAGGAAGAACAAATAACTGAACATTGAAGAAAGATTTAAGACTTACATGTGGCAGCATCTGCACTTGCTGAAGATGCCACAATACTAAGGCTTGCAATAGATTCAACCAGACCACCATACACAATACTTTTCAGAATATCCCATGTCTTACTGCTTCCTGGTTCTTGAACTTCACCTGCTGTAGTTGTAGGAGCGGGTGTTGTGATTGCCAGAGGCTCTGTTCAATGAATACACCTCATCATTTCATTGCAATATATCACAGTGCCATAATGTCTAAGATGTAAAATAATGAACGTAAGACATGATTTCAGGATTGAATGGTAAAGAAGGTCAAAACCATTGAGTACTGACACATGGTTAACAGAAGCATCTACTAGTACCAATAGTAAGTATTTTCCTGTATATATCTATATCTGATATAATATCTGTAGAAAGCTGTACTATTTGTAAGCCATAATAATGTAGCTCCCTTAGATTCTAGTAAAGTATGAGCCCTACAGTCTAGTTTACTTAAAAACCATCTTAACTCGATGGAGGTGCTAAGCGCTGAGGGGTACACTGAAGAAGGATTACTTTTCATGTGTTTATGTGCTATTAAATTCATTGTACCGTGTTTGATTATCCCTTCTATCTCATTTAACCTTATTGTAATCCTTGATTTAGGCTTCAGCGCATTTTTAGATCACTTTCATTTTTTATCTTCAGCATTATATATTAAATTCAGAAATATTATGGAGACTTGAGTGTTTGAATGTATCATGATGCTTACAATGTTATTCTGCATACCTGTGCTTACTCCATCACGTACAACCTCTTCAACTGGTTTCTGTTCTGGAATTTTTGAAATATCTGCTTGAGGTTTTTTTGGTATAGCAAACGCTGAAGCACTAGCTAAAAGCCTCCAACGTGAAGGTTTGGCTCCAGATCCATCTGGGCCTGGCTCATCTTCTGGGATTTCAATAGCTTGATATGATGAATCTGCCAATTTGATGTTATTTTAGAGATTACTTCCCAAATAGTCTGACTAATAAAATATATGTGACTGTTTTATATAATTTTGATAAAACTCAAGAGAGTAAAAATATGGTCAGGTCATCTTCTATTACATCATTGAACCCATGGTTTCTTATTTCTAGATCTCTGCTGTCTCATTTAAACTTGCTAAAGTCCATGGTTTAGGATTCAGAACATTTTGTTATTTTGGAGATTACTTCCCAGATATGCAGATCATGTGAAAAGAAAGTTATGACTATAAAAGACATGTGACTGTGTTGCATATGATCTTGAGAAATTTCAAGAGAGCAAACGTATTTTGAGGTTATCTCCTATTACACTCAGTGAACTCATGTCTTATTTCAAGATCTCTGCTCTCTCATTTATCTTCTATTACATTTCTAGGTCACTTTAATTTTTTATCTCCAGTATTATCTGTTAAATGAGACTAAAACATTTGAATACGCCATAATGCCAAAAATGATATTCTATGTACCTATGCTTACTCCCTCATCTACCACCTCTTCAAGTGGTCGCTGTTGTTCTGGAATTTTTGAAATATCAACTTGAGGTCTTTTCTGCATAGCAATTGCTGAAGCACTAGCCAAAACTCCCCAACGTGAAGGTTGGGTGCTGGATCCATCTGGGACTTGTTCATCTTCTGGGAATTTGAGTTATTTTGGAGATTACTTTCCAGATATGCAGATAATGTGAAACAATAGTCTATGACTAAGGAAAGACTTGTGATTTTGTTGTACATAATTTTGACAAAACTCAAGGGAGTAAAAATTAGGAAAACAAGGCAATATTTATAAATTCTCGTAAATTAGAAAAGTATTTACTAAGGTACAATTATTCCCGCACATCACATTGAATGAAAAAATCTTAGGTAACATATACCACAAGTACTTATGGTTATGATTAGTCTTTGTAGTTTGACACGAGAGCCATATGTACAGAGGTGAAACCTACTTCTCTTCTCCATTTTCTCTCAACTTTATCCTCACTATCTATTTAAAGGGATTCAAACTCCATCAAGTCAATGCATATACATGTACCATATAGTACTTAGTAAGGTCTTTTCGTTGAGCTTGATTAATTGTTTGAGGTATCCCAAGCAACTAAACAAAGAAAGGATTATGCTTACCTTGAGTTTTACTTGCGCCATCAGAAATTATTGGTTCAGGTTGCAGCGTTTGACTTCCTGAATCAGGAGGAACTTGATCAGGGGCTGGAACCGTTGTTTCTGGTACATCTGTTGGAAAAATAATAATAATAATAATAATATATATATATATATATATATATGAAGACAATAATGCTTGAAGCATGAAGAGATTACTGTTCTGAAGAATAATTTGCTTTTAGTAGACATTTTCCTGAGATTCAACAAGCTCTTTTATTTATGATAGGCAACAAGAATCCACAGATGATAATCTTAAGATAACCCAGAAAAAAAAATGGAATAAAAGGCAATGTATTGTCTTTCTTTTCTTACAAATAATCTCACGCCTGGTGGTTAAAATTTAGGCGAGGAAATAATTAGCAGTGCAGAAATAAGAGATTGTTTTAAATTTATCTAGGCCGATATTTAGATTAATTTAATAAAGAACTTGAATTGATTTTAAATTTCAGGAATTAAGATTAATCCAAAAGCCAAAGGCTGAGTTGGAAAAGTTCTTTAGACTGATCTTGTAAATTCTGCACTTCTACATTGATTTCATTGGCAAAAGTAAACGATAACATCTCAATTCATCAGCAAGGAGATGCACTGCCAGTTATTAAACTTGTGTTCAGCTAATAAGGTTATGTTTCATGTTTGTATTGGTATGACATATAAATGGTTAATTCACTTGATGATAACATTCCAAAATCCAAGGGTGCCCCACAAACAGTACTCAGATGGCAAGCTCATTCAAGAAGTCAAAAGTGTTTTAGTGTGTATGAGCTATCCAATAAATAACATAGACTCAGGAAACACTTCACCTTCTCCGTCACATGCCAACCCAGGAAAAAGCCAACTACCTGTTGAAAAATGCAGAACAATTTTTAATGCATGCTTTATATAAATATAAAATATAAAATTCCATATCAAATCACACTGTTCATAAGAAAATTGTAAATAATGCAGGTCATTTCTCATAGTCTGTGTAATGCACTGGTCATCTTGAACATGTTACTCATTGGGATGAGGAAACTGAAGCAAGTTGAGCATCTGAATCTATCCAATGGTGGAAGAGGTTGTGCGGGAACACCAGGTTCTTCCCTCACTGTATCCAAAATCAAAACTTTCTGGATACAAGCCCTACAATTGGGACAATAGAATCCTTGTGTGGGTGGCTTCTGATAAAGACTTTCCAGATATAGTTCTTTCACTAATTGCACATTCTCTGTTATTATGCCAATTCTTTCACTTTCAATGTTGGCATATTTGGGAGAAGTTGAATACATAGGAATAATAGGATCAGAGGAAGGCGAAGCAACGTTCTTCTTCTCAATGTCACTTAAATAAACCTTTGTTTCAGAGATCTCTTGCCCTGCATTACGTGAACTTTATTAAATAGGCAAACTGTGAAGAGTCCTCTTAAATCTGAATGTTCCTTGAACGACAAAGGCAAAACAAAAACTCATTTTCCTAAGTAGGAAAAAAAAAAAAACTCACTTTTTTCACTTTCAATTGTCACATTTTTGGGAGAAGTTGAATCCCCAGGAATGAAAGGATCAGAGGGTGGTGAAGCAATGTTCTTTTTCTCAATGTCACTGAAATAGTCCTTTGTTTCAAAGATCTCTTGCCCTGCATTACATGAACTTTATTAAATAAGGAACTATAAAGAGTACTCCTAAATCTGATGTTCCTTGAACTATAAAGGCAAAACAGAAACTCATTTTCCTAAGTAGGAAAAAAAAAACTCACTTTTTTCACTTTGAATTGTGAAAATTTGGGGAGAAGTTGAATCCCCAGCAATGATAGGATCAGAGGAAAGTGAAGTAATGCTCTTCTCAATGTCACTGGAAACATCATATGTTTCAGAGATTTCTTGCCCTGCATTAAATGAACCTTATTAAAGAAGGAACTAAGAGTCCTCCTAAACCTGATGTTCCTCACCATAAAAGCAAAACAGAAACTCATTTTTTAGTGCGGCAAAACCCACATCTTCGTCATCATAAAAAAGAGCATAGACCACATGTTGCATATAAACTTCTTGAATTTCTTCTTGCGTCAAAACATGAAGTAAATCTAATGTTTCTGCAGGACAAAACAAGCCGGGGGAAAAAAAACAGAGTCTGCAGCTGGGAAAAGCTTGAGCACAAAAAAGCGATTTTGAAGAAAAATTATTATTTGTAGGAAACCCATTAAATGATTTTAAATATTAAACTTTTGATTTTCACTAAACACTCCTTATTTGTTTTGTAGGGTTCTTCCCTGACCTTTTTAGTAAAGCAGAGGGAAAATAGTCAAAATACATTATTATTTTCTCTATTAACTCATTCACTATTAGGACTACAAAAATACTGGAGAAAAAGATCCGGTAAAAAAATATCAAATATGTTGATTGTCCCGTCATAAGAAACAACAAATTTTGAAAGGCAATTTTTATCAAAAAACTAAAAACATATTTTTATGTCAAAAAAAATATATATATATATATATATTTTGTCAAATTACAACGTCATACCAAAATATGGGGAAATGAAAATATACCTGATAAGATTTCATTGTCGTGCTTGAAGTTGATTATAGCGTACCTTGAACATCAATACTTGAAGTAGTAACAATGGTGGTGACCTGCGTGTGAACTTGGCGTCTAACTAAGCCCTCTTCTTCAACCTCAACCTCTGCTACTTCTTCTTCTTCTTCTTTCTCGCTCCATTGCTTCATTACTTCTTCCATTATTCACAGTTTCACAGTTCACACACTCAAGCAAAAGGCAAGCCTCCAGGCATGTATCTATATATAGAACGTTATTAGAACTACAACTCAACTAAGGTAAACGGAGTTAATATATTGAATGCAGATTGCAGAACATGTTACTCGTGCAAGGAAAAATTAATTTTTTTTGAAAAAACATTGTCTGTATTGTGTGAATGGAAGTTGTCCTGCAGTTTATAGGGTTCGTAGATTCCATGTTGAAAGGTTGGTGGCGATAGAGATAACAGTGTCGTGACCTTCTGGGTACTACTAGCTGGAGAGCATTTCAGTACCCTCTAATGGCGCCAATGCTTATTAAAATGGCCATTTTTTTAACCACTCTCGTGAGTCCTGACCAGTTTCGGACATCGCCCGTGGAGATTCTCTCAGACTGTGATAAAGGAAGGCTAAAATGCATAAAATGCCTCCAAACTTTGAAACACTTGCAATAAACCCCCTTCACTTTTAAAACTTTAAAATTAACTCCTTCAACTTTTAATTTTGTTTTTCAAAACCTCCTATTATTAATTATATTATTTTTTTATGAGGGTTAAAATATCATTCAACTAAAAAATATTATTAAACAAAAATATTATATTGTATAACTATTTATAATAAATTTTTTATATTTTTTGGATAGTTGAGACATTGATAATAAAAAAACTGTTATTATCACTATATAAAATTTTAAATATTTATGCTTATATTAGTTTCATTCATATTTTTTTTTATTAATGGTGCATGATTTTATTATTTTAAAAAATAAATTTTTATTTATATTTTTATGTTAAGTTAATGTAATATACATGGCTAAAATATTTAAAATTTTAAATATTACCATGTTAGATTAATTTATCTTTTTAATACTAGAAAACTATTTAACATTGATGACAAAAAAATAACACAAAATTAAATATTTAAAATTTTATATGGTGATAATAATATTTGTTTTGGTTATTATCAATGCCTCAATTATTTAAAAAAATATAATAAATTTATTATAAATAGTTATACAATATAATATTTTTTTAATAATATTTTTTAGTTGAATGGCAGTTTAACCCTCATGAAAAATAATATAATTAATAATAGAGGGTTTTTAAAAACAAAATTTAAGGTTATGGAGTTAATTTTAAATTTTTAAAGTTAAAGAGAGTTAGATATAACTATCTTAAAGCTCAAGGAGGTTTTACCATAAAGAAAATTAAAAGGAAACCCTAATTAATGCTTGGTTTGGTTCAATGGCTTGTTCTGGTGATCAGTTTAGTCAACACAACATGTTTAAAAATTGAATCCCAAAATGCAGTCATGTTAAATATATGATATGGGAGAGATTTGCCACTTTGTTGTTCTCCACGACATGATTTAAATTACTTTGACTTTCATTAAATTCTTTAGTTGAAAGTAGGACAGGTTCAAAATATCGAGTCATTTAATTCAAAATAAAATAAAAAGAGACACAAACCTATATGAGGATAAATTTGGAGAGACAAATTGGAGGGGACCAACCCAAATAAAAGATGGATTTTAGTGTAGCATGAAAATCCAAATCAACCCCTAATTAATTATGTTTAGTGTCTTGATTAATTTAATAAAATAATTAATTTGATATGATTTAAAATCTTAATTAATTAAATGACCAGTCAAGGTTTAAATACCTTAGATTTTAAGCTTTGACTTTAATTTCTAAAAAGCATTTGGCTGATGTCTTTTTAATTGATGATCTTATAATATAGTATGGGTGACACAAAATTAAAGTTGTGAATTAGTAAGACTTGTTGGACTAACCTATTAAATTAGGCGTGTCCAAGTAAAATAAATTAGCCAATTTTAAAAAATAAGCATATATAAACCAACTTTCTTGGCTGATAAATTAAGGCAAGTAATAAGCATATTACTTGTTTATTTCACTTAAGGCCATATCTTTTCCCCTTTTTTTAGAGAGAGAAAGAGAAGGAGAGACTAATGTCAAGTCTCACATCGGAGGGACTTGGAAAGGACCTTAGCTATGTAAGCGGGCGCGCTGCACGTCCTAATAGATTAGCCTTTTGGGGAGAGAGTAATGGCCCCGTGACAAAGTGGTATCAGAGACAGACCCGAGTTTGTCTAGTTGGTGGGCTCCTTTGGTGAGCTACCCATGATGGGGGTATCACAGATTGGTCGAGGAAGTTGTCAGGTCCTACGTTGGAGGGATTTGGAGAGGATCCTGACTATATAAACGGGTGTGCTACACGTCCTAATAGGTTATCCTTTTGGGGAAAGAATAATGGCCCGTGACACTAAGCTCCTAATTTATATATTAATATAAAGCAGGTTTATTTTGTATTAACATTGAGTGTACGATAAACTTGATGCAATTTGAAGATATCCCTCCCTTCCAGAACCATCAAATTTAAAATACTTAATTAAATTCATTAATTTGGTGGTTAGAAGAAGATTTATCAACCATATGACATTCATATTAAAGCTTTTTGGTCTACTCAGTTTACATGTTAGACAAGCTAGTCCAGTTTTATAGGCATTTTTTTTTTCTAATCATCCATTGTTTGACACGTGACAGTGTGAATGACATAGTTTTCAAACTATAACCCTTATGATCAGCTTAATTTTTTAAATGTATGTTTACCATTTCAGTTTGACTTATCATTTTAATGTTGAACATACACACATTTTTTGACAAAAAAGAAGAATAATATATACACATTTTAAATGCCCTTGAACATATGAAATTAATTTGCATCTTCACCCTTGTCATTAATAATAATCAACTCACCATCAAGACCCATTGGCAATTATTCTTCCTTCAAAAGTGTCTACTGTCTAGAACTCATTTAGGATTCCTAAATTCTTATATTATTATTCCTTTTATTTTTCTAAGCCGCAACATTTATTTATCAAAGTTTTATAATAAAATAATTTTAACATTTTACTCTTAATTAGTAATGCATTTAATCCATTCAATTTGCCTTGTGATATAGCTCATCTTTGGTAGAATTTGCACAATTTTAAAATAAAAAAACTTCTCTCAGTACTAGAAGTCATTATCGATATCATCAATAATATTAATACCAGTAAAATATTTAAATAAATGTGTGATCTAATGACTAAAATTGTCATCAAATTATCCTTGCATATATATATATATATATATAAAATGATATCATCCACTTTGCTTTCTATTTATGCTCTACACATGTTTCAATAGTCAATTTTTTCACTACTAAAAAAATATAAATTAACAAAAAATTATCTATTTCTCTCTAAAATATTCAATTAGCAAGAAAATTAGTTAGAAATATTGATTTTGTAATTTAATTTAAAATTGATAAAAAAAATAGTGAAATACTGTCAATCCCTTTTTAAAATAAAATAAAAAGTGAGAAACTATCAACCCCTCTCTAAAATAAGATAATTAGTGAGAGATTAATTCCTTGCTAATTATTGCAAAATTTTTTGACGTTTGGCAAATGAATTTTAATTATACATTTAATTATTTTTATTTAAAAATAAAAATTAAATTTAAAATTGACTAAAATATTTATAATAAGATTATTTAATATTTAATATTTTTTATTTTAAGCTTATTTCATTAATAAAACAATATTTTATTAAAAATATAATATAAAGAATATTTTAAATAAAATATAAATACTTTTAACATATTAATAATTGAAAATAAAATATAATATGTGTGTATTTTTTTATAATATATTATTTGATATATTTGTGTTGTTAAATAATATATATTTAATTTATCATATAATGACTGCAAGTATCTTTCAATTTAATTGGTAAAGAATGAGAGTATAAGACTTAAAAGGTAGAAGGTCAAGAGTTGAAGTATTAGCTTTGACATAAACATAATGAATATATGATATTTTTACATGTCACAAGTTGACGCACACATGACGAGTGATATGATATCATCATTTTTAAACATAAATATATTTAGTGAGGGACTAGCAAGGAACTAATCCCTCGCTAAAGTTATCAAATTTTGAATAATATTAGCGATAAAAAGATGATCCCTCACTAAATTTAACGAGCCATCTGTTGGTTACGATTTTAATGAGAGAAAATAGCATTTAGTAAGGAATTTAATTTAAATTAAATTCGTAGCTAAAATTCCTTTTTAATTTATTCCTCACTAAATTTTATTTTCTAGTAGTGTATTTTGTAAATTTTTTTTTTGTATCATTCATCTTTAAATTATGTTACCATTATATCCTTTATAAAGTGAAGCTCAATATCATAATTTTGTAGAGAAAAATAAAGGATTGTGTTGCAACCAGAAAAACCTCAAGGAGTGAGTCTTAACCAAATCAAAGCTATAGATATTAACCTATAACCCATGCACATGGACATTCCCGTTATTTGATTAGTTCAATATAAGGTAAAGAAGATTTTAAAAAAAATATTATTGAACCTATATAATCCTTGTTCCCATCACCTTTATCCAATAATTCATATCAAATTGAGGACACTCCTTTAAACTTGATATTTATCCATCCTTACACAAATCAACGTTTTTCTTGGTTGATTATCTTGTTGAGTATGGTCTATGTCGGCAAAGTTGTTGATCAATGATGGTGATGTTGTCGGAAAGCCATCGTCCAGGTAGAAGGAAGGTGTTGGCCTGGGTAGGACTTTTTTTTTTTTAAAATATATATATATATATATATATATAATATCAAACAAATATATGATAATCATGGTTGTACTGCATTTTATTTCTTAACATTATATTCCATTACATGCAAAAGATGGTCCTTTGCTACCAAAGACATTTGCCTAGAAAGTGGTGAGCACTTGATTGCCAATCTTTGCAAACATCTAATATAAGATAACCACGTGCTACAGTCCTCCAATGAAATGATGAATATTCTAGAGATATATCCTAGTTTTGGTAAGTTTTTAGGTTTCACTTACCTCAACCTTTTCTTATTATAAAAATGTGATGGATATTCTATTTTTAGTTCCGTGCAGAAAAGAAACTAGATTAAACTATACATCTTTTGGTCCAAAGTAAAAGTAGTTTTTTTAAAAAATTTGCACACCGATAAAGCTATTATTTTCATAAAAATATATATTATTTTTTCTTTTCACTTTTAATCTCAATTATGAATGTATTTTATGATAAGTGAAGTATAAATTCACACAAGATCTAAGTTATACAATGGGTAAAATGATTTTTTTTATGTATTATATTACTTTTATTTTGAATTAAGTTAGCCGAAAAAAAAAAGCTCATATCTTGAATTGAAAGGGCTATCGAAAAATGAAATTTATCTATGTGGTGTGGCACTGTGGCTCATAAAAGATTCTAATGTTGATTTACAAATCAAACCCTAGAAAACTTAAAATTATATTGCAGGTTTTTTGGATTAAAGTGAAATAAAATATTAAAGTAAATTGTCCTCCTTGAGTGATTCAGAAAAATTATTAATTTCACCAGTAAAATCTCTAATATTACATATTAATTTTTTTGAGTTACTTGTTAAGCCTATAAATTTATTTGTCCATTATCTAACTTGCATTAAATCTATTCATCACAACTTATTAAATTATTACTTGTATTTGTAAAATCACTAACATTATTTGCTAATTCTCTTTCATCTATAACATTATTCGTGCGTTATCTACCTTGTACAAAATTCATTTATCATGAGTTCAGGACTTATTAAATTATTAATTAATTTTACTTATAAAATCTCTAATATTACTGATTAATTTTTTTATTACTTGCTAATTCTATAATATTAATTGTGCATTATCTAACCTGTGTCAAGCTCAAGCGTGATTGACCCCAACAACAGAGAATACAGCCATAAACCAAAGATACTGGCGCATACATAGGCTTTTTTAACAGCGTGATAAAACCATAATGGATAATGGACTAATCACTCGTAAGGATGTTGTTCATGAATCATGATAGATGTCCTTCTCATCACCACTTGTCTTCACAATCCCTATCCAACGAAAATCACATTCTTCTCACCGATTGATCTTCCATCATCGTCAACGCAAAGCAGAAAGCAGCTGAGCTTTGCTATACACCTCATCAATCATGGCACCTTCGTTATTTTCTCCACCCTCAGTGGCATTTCCCTATTCACTCCCCTCGGTCTCATCGACCACGTTTCTCACCCAGCATCCTTTAGTCGGACTTAGAAAGCTACAAACACGCCGCGAGGCGCACACTCTCTGCTCTCCTCTCAAAGTCTGCTGAAGCCGAGAAGAGGGGAGAGAGACAAAGAGAGCTTCCAACGGAAAATGTTGAAGATTTCGTGTAATGGGACCGATCCCATTCAAGCTCTAGCACAATGCAGATTCAAAGCTCCGCCCATGTCACTCTTCAATCGCCGGAGGAACGGCGTCGTTGTGTGCTCTCGCGAGAACAAAGCGTCGCCGGTTCTTGCCGTCGTGTCGGACCGTGGAAGCGTTGGATTGGACGGCGCTGTGACCCGTCTTGAATCCGGTTCGGGAACTTTGGCGGACCGGTTGCGGCCGGGGAGCTTGACGGAGGATGGGTTGTCTTATAAGGAGAAGTTCATTGTGAGGAGCTATGAAGTTGGGATTAATAAGACAGCCACTGTAGAGACCATTGCCAATCTCTTGCAGGTTGAACATTATATGCATTTTGATCTTTAACTGTTTTACTGGAATTAAGTGTGACCGACAAGATGTTCCCTTTTTGTCAGTGACGAATCTGCAGGGGACAAGGGGGGCCATTGCCCCCCACACTTTCATGATTTGTTATAACTTGTATGCTTTTTACTTCCTTTCTTATTTTCCAATTCTTGCCCTCCATGTATGTGATCCTGGATACGTCCCCGCTAGTTTTTGTCCGGTAGATTGTGTGAATTTTTGCATTTCCTGGGTGTATCGTTAGATATGTATCTTTGAATTAGATTGGGAACCTTTCAAAAGTTCTTTTTTTTTTTTGGGGCATTCCTTGTCTTCAATTTTTTGTGCGGATTGTTCCAAAACTGAAGTTTAAATTTGGACATTTGACACCCCCCCCTCCATCCTCTGGTTGCATTGTGTTTCTATTTCAGTTGCTTTTATGAACAATTTAATCATGGAGTCTGGCCAGTATAGAGGATAAGATTTTGGATTGCTGTTGCGATAATCTGTTCGTTATTGTTTTCTATTGAGTTGCTTGGCAACTGAACTTGTCTGATATTAGATGACGTTTTGTTTGTTTCCTAACATTTTATTTATGACTTCTCCTACGACTTTGTGACCATAGGAGGTTGGATGTAATCATGCTCAGAGTGTTGGATTTTCGACAGATGGTTTTGCTACGACCCCTACTATGAGAAAATTGCGCCTCATATGGGTGACTGCTCGCATGCACATCGAAATCTACAAATACCCTGCTTGGTGGGTTTTGCTTTTTACCAGACTTCTTTTAAGTTTGAAACTCTAACGAGAAAAATATTTGACTTGAAAACTCCAACAGGAGTGATGTAGTTGAAATCGAGACATGGTGTCAAGGGGAAGGGAGAGTTGGAACCAGACGTGACTTTATACTCAAGGACTATGGTACCAATCAAATCATTGGAAGAGCAACCAGGTGAGATTTTTCAATTTTTTTGAAATTATCCCTAGTTATAGATTGGGTGATCAATTATCTGCACTTTGACTCTGTTAAAATTTTCTGGTGTGGCTCTTTTTACTCCATATGCAATGCATGAGGATATTGTGAAACCCTCGAGGATTGGTAGTATTTGATTTGTGGGAAACTTTGTAAAGTAATATATGACTTGATGAACTACTTTTTATGGTTTTGGAAGGTAGAAAGTCCTTCCCTTGTTTTGCCCTTTATCTTTATTTATGTCACCCATTTCCTCAATGGAACTCATATACCCTCAAGCTGATGTTTTATCTTGCTATTGATCATGTTGAAGCATAACTTGCTGCTTCTGGAAATGCATAGCTTATTGATATGCACTGTCAAATCACGGAACTTCTCTATTATTGGAGCATTTTTGACCAAACACTGGAGATGCCTCCTTCTAAAATGACAAGCTTCATGGTTCAGCAATGTGTGCTTGAGCCAGTGATTCCTCATATCATTTGTCTTCCATAAGATAGAATAATGGTTGGAGCCAAACTTTCAATTTCTATTGCTTTGGGGTCATATCATCAAAAATCTTCTAATTAACTATCAAAATCATGGTTCAAGGTTAATCATCCAACTAAATTACTGGGCTGCAATGCCTGCATTCTACTTGATGAATATGATTAATATTTCTTATTGGAACTAATGTTGTTTGCCATAAAGTACGCTTACTCTAATTTCTAGCTTTCCAATAGTGTAATATTAAGCTCTTCGTGTCATGTAATATTAAGCTCTGTGTGTCATTTTTTGTCGAGGAACTTGATGAATATTGAGGGATTTGAAGTGAAGAATTTAATATTTCTTATCAGAACTAATGTTCTTTGCCATAAATTATGCTCACTCTAATTTCTATCTTTCCAATAGTGTAATATTAAGCTCTTCGTCATGTTCCAAGGTTCATTCAAGTTCTTTTGGATTTTTATTATTAATTTAAGGTCTTGAACATCCTTATATTTTTCTAGAAGTATAGCTTTTGCAAATCTCCCCAATAATTGTGACTTTTGAGATCCTTGTCACTAGGATGCCAGGGATTTTAATAACACCTAAGCCTCATAAATTATAGTGTCCTTAAAATCTGAAGTTGACTGGAAACTATCCTATGATTCAATTCAAGAAATTTTAACAAATAATTCCTAGTTGCAGTCTGAAATTTTTCTGGCCTGTAAAATTGACGCTTCTCTAGATTTTGATGTCATATCTGCAAACTGTCAGAACAGTTTTGTGCTTTAGATGCTTTCTTAAAGCTGACAATGCATTTTATTGTTTCAGCAAGTGGGTAATGATGAACCAGGACACTAGACGACTCCAAAAAGTCTCTGATGATGTCCGTGAGGAGTATCTAGTTTTCTGTCCACGAGAGCCAAGGCATGTTGATTCTCTACCTATTTTGAGATTATTACTAGTTGAAAAAATGTTGCACAATATAAACCTAGTAATTTCTATTTTTGTTAGATAATTGCCTTTTAAAATTGCTACAATTTTGGTGAGCTAAAAGGGAGGGGCACTGGTGTCACTAGCGCCACATTGATGTGAAAGGGTTCAAACTTCTTGAGTTTCTATGCTTATATAAGCAGCATATTAGAAGTAGCTTGGCTGAAGCATCCTGGTCCATAGTTACTTTTAATTTTCTTGTATTTGTTGTGTGGTTTTAGGCTATCATTTCCTGAGGAGAATAATAATAGCTTGAAGAAAATTACAAAGCTGGAAGATCCTGCTGAGAATTACAAACTAGGACTTGTGGTACGATCATTTGGCTTATATAACATTTTTAACTCGTAATTTGCAACATGTTAAGGTTCTTATATCTTTTCTGATCTTGTTATGGTTTTAGTACTTCATCTAATGAGGATACCCTATCGTACTCTCTTGTATATTTCTTCTCTCTGGATGTAATTTCTCATATTATAAAAGAAAATATCAAGATCCTGGCTCCTCATGCTAAACTTTTGAAATTGCAGCCTCGAAGAGCAGATCTAGACATGAACCAGCATGTTAACAATGTCACTTATATTGGATGGCTGCTAGAGGTACTTAGAAAAAGCCTTAAATTTGTTCTAATTCCGGTGCAATATATTTGTATTTTTTTCTTTTTTTGGTTTGATAAGATGGAAATAGAAAAAACAAAACAAAACAAACTACGACACAAGCCCAAGCCTATGTAATTCCGTCTCTCTGAAGAAGTTCCGAGATCAAATTTCCAGGGATGACGTGTAGATCAAAATTGTGGCTGAATGCATGTTCGGCAAAGTAGTCAGCTGATGCATTCTCATCACGGTCAATATGCTGAAGTTGGACCTGCCATTCTCAATGAAACATCTGCTTGATTTCTGCAATCAGACCCCGATCCCTGTGCATCTCATGGTCATCAGAATTGACAGCTTGAATAACCTCCATGTTCTCTCAGAATAATGCCACATTACGGAATTCTCCACCCTAGGCCCTTCGAAGCCCCATCAAGCATCCCCACAGCTCAGCCACGAAGCTATCCCCATCCTGAAGTCGAAACGAGAATGCCTCGACCATCTCCCCATTCACCCTCCTCAAGATCCCCCCACTTCTGACAGCTTTATTGATGTGAGAGAAGGCACCATCTGCCCATACCTTCACTCCCCTGTTCTCTTGTTGCATTCCATCATGAAGCCTAATCTGATGCCTCACGTCATGTGTATGCGAGGCAGCCTCCCTCATGCAACGCAGGATGCCCTTCGCTTCAGCTTCAAAGGACGATAACACTTCCGTTGAGTTTTAATGTACTCTTTCAAGAAAAGCCAACAAATAACCCCCAAAAAAATCACACCATCGACCAAACACCTGAGCATACTTGTTTCTGATATTAATATTCAACCAAGAAACCAATCTGCTTGGAAAAACGACCCATGCATAGAAGGAAAAATAACGTTTCCCCAAACTTGTCTGACTGCACCACGATCTTGAAGAACGTGTGAGGCATCTTCTTTCTCTCCATTGCATAAATCACACTCTCCGGAAGTATGCAATCCTCTCTGAAATTTCAAGTCATTCGTCATCAATCTCCCATGTCTCACTAACCATATATATATGCATGTTCTATACATATTGGCAAGAGTTTTACTACCTTCCCGCCATAATCAAAACCAACTCAAACTCCATACAAGATTTGGAACTTACACATGCTTTGCCTGAAACAAAGTGTAAATTACACAATTACTTTGAATTTTGCTGGAATTACTTGTAGCTCCTCTGTATTTTCAATGTACCTAACACCCATAACATAAGCCTCTCCAAAGTTAAAAAAACAGAGAAAGATGTATGTATAATCTCAGCTAAGCTTACTCTATTTTTACGCGTGCAAGTTTTGAGAATGATTTGCTTTAAGGAAGATTTGCACAGATTTTGAAAATACAAGGTACGGTCAATAATATCAGTATAATTCAAAAGAGGTCTGTGTAATTTATTCTACTATTTTTTATGGTATGCATTTTTAATCCTTTATTTTCTTTTTCTTGCGATGCATGCATATGCGAATGCAATAGATTGCATCCTAATTCATCAGTTCCTTATCAAAATGAGTCCTTTCCTTCAATCCTTCATGTTGGTGTCATGAGCTGACAAAGTTTTATGGCAGAGCATGCCTCAAGAAATTATCGACAACTATGAGTTGCAGAGTATAACATTGGATTACAGACGTGAGTGCCAACAAGATGACGTAGTTGACTCCCTGACAAGCTCAGAACTATCAGAGGGAGCCGAGGCAGTTGCAGAACTCCGTGGTACAAATGGATCCGCCACCGCAAGGGAAGACAAACGAGATTGCCGGCAGTTTCTACATCTACTTAGGTTGTCAGGCGATGGACTGGAGATCAACCGAGGACGAACAGAATGGAGAAGGAAGTCACCAAGATGATGCATGTACTCTCTTGTACTACCTGCCTTTGCTTGAACATTATTCTATATATGTTTCTTTCATTTGTTTATGATTGTTCTGTTTCTTATTCTCCCTGGGTTGTCTTCTTTTCGGCATAAAGATTTTGCTTAGAATTCACAAACTTTTTCTACGGCTGTATAAGTATAGTTTTATACGCTTGTTATAAAGTTTGTCGAGATATATTGTTATTTTAGAATTATGATCAAGTGGATCGTTTTTGTGATTAAATGGTCATATGATTATATCCACTAAGCAAAACAGCATGCCTCCATTTCAGACATTTTGAATCAACAATTATTTATGTTTTATGTTTAACTACAACTTACGAATAAAATAAAAAAGTTTGAGTTATGCAAGTGTGAACAGAATCACACAAGAATAAAAAAGTTGAGTTGTGCTAGTGACTTGTATTTGGACCAAACAATCTTTCTACAATGTGACTAGCGTTGGACCAAACAATCTTTCTACAATATGACTAGCGTTTGGAAGAGGAGAAAGCTGAGTACCAGCTAGACTAAATTCAAAATCCAAAATATTTACTCTTAACCCAAAATATGAAACTACTTTTTAATTACAAAGACTGCGATTAAGACCGTACAAATGAAAATTAAATTACTTTTGAGGAAAGAAATTGGTCCTTGCACTCTAAGGGGGGGTCGTTATATAAGCCTATTTAATTTTAATACATCAAATATTTGTGTTACTCTTTTTCACTTACCTATTAAAAAGAAAGCTTTAATTAGAGCTATTTTGGTGAAAAAAACATAATTTAGGGACAAAATGGATGGTGTCCTCTATGAAGGATTAAAGTAAAGTACTCGAAATTAAAAGACCTATATTTAAGACTAGAGAAAGTAAACTTAATGGGCACAACTACCAAATCCTCCCAAATGGTTACTCCTTCCGTTTCTATTTATAAAAGAAAAAATTATATCATACAGTTTAAAAAAATTAATTAATTATATTAATTGTATTCGAAAATAAAAGAATTGGATTATAATACTTTTTATTAATTTTGTTAATTAAATCTCTATTAATTGTTTCTTATGACTATAAATGATAAAATTATGAAGGATAATTTAAAAAATTTATAATTAATACTTATTGAAAAATGTAATTTTTTTATATAAAAAACTAATTAAAAATGATAGTTTCTTTTGTAAATAAAAACGGAGAGAGTATAAATTAAGGTAATACTTTGTTTTCAAATACAAGAAAAACTAGCTATACTTCTTTTTTTGTTTTTTGTTTATAATCATGTTTCTTTATTTTTTATTATAAGTAAAACTAAATTTTAAGAAGCATTAGTTACCTTTTTTTTTTTTCCAAATTATCCCTTAACTTAGATGGAAAAAGTAAATATTAATTATACGGGCATTTTAATTCAAACATTTCAATTTCAAATAATTATTGCAATTAACTAATTTCAGAGTTAGCACACCCATTACCTTATTAACTAATTGAACACACATATTCCTTATAAATCATTTTTTCTAGCCACCTCAAAAAGTGAAATAATTAAACTATTGATATTTTTTTAAAAAAGAGAATTTTCTTGATTTATCCTTATATATATTTTTCCTCATATGTAACAATATTTTACTTTACTTATAAAAATTTACAACAATTAGAAAAATGTAAAATGATTATTTTTTATAGTGACTTATAAAAATGATTATCAAACTTTTTCAAAATGTGACTTATATATAAGACCATATACCATTTCATTCCTCATATGAAGAAAGGGACAGCTTAACTAGAATGCTCATTAATTCATGGAATGAATCACAAGTTGATGAATTTAATTTTATTGCAAAATACAAAAGCAGTGCTCTATGAAGTTTTTCTTCTTATTGCTCATTTAGGATTATAGTCCCACCTAATTCCTACCACAAAAGCAAACCATATGGCCCATCAAATTTAACAACTTAATTAAATACTCTTCTAAATAGAGAAATATTTAGGCAAATTCACTTAATCAAATTAAGATTAAGATAAACTAGGCATACCGTTTAGCAGAAAAAATGACATAAAAAAGCGAGAGTACTATGTTGGCTATTGAATTCAAAGTTATAAAAGTCAATTTCTTTCTGACAGATTGAAATTACTTTCAAGAAAAGTAATATTAATCCTCTCAGTGATCTGATCCTTCATGGGAAAGCAAATTTAATTAGATTCCCATGTTTCCTTATCAGGAAAACCAGAAGGTGAGGAGATCTCATCACTCTCACTTGAAGTTCTATAAATTAGGGTCATAGACAATCCTCTACATGCAAAACCAAGAGAAACAGATCAAGAACCGCCAGAGCTCATTCCATGGCCAAACTCACTTGTGCTTTCCTGGTTTTGGCTCTCATAGCCACGCCATTTCTGAATGCCATTGAAGCTGTTGCAGCAGGAAGAAGCATGCCAGGCGGCGGTGGCCACGGCGAGAAGGTTAACGTGGATGATAATCACAGTGAAGATAAGCTGTATGGCGCTTCTAAGTTCTTTTGGGGACCTTGGGGACTTGGTCTGCTTCATCCATGGCTCTTTTTTGGTCCCGGTCCCTTCTGGTGGTTCAAACATGTCAAAACCACAAACCCTAACCCTAAAGCTTCTGGTTATAATAATAATGATGGCCATGACAGTACCTCTGAAGTTGGCAACCTTGCCCCTACTTATCATTCTCCATGATATTAATAATTTAATATCATCATTATGGAGTGAAATGAAAGCTTATTGCTTACGTGTGTGCTTGTGGTTGTGTGGTATTTAGGGTTTGCATGCATGCCCTAATATCCTATAAATAATTTGCATGCATTATATTTGGCTTAGCTTGATGATGAATTGGTTGTGCCCTAAATAGCTTCTAGGGTACGTTTTATATGGTGTACATTAGTGAGCCTGCTAATGGCTGTATATGTGATTTGCTGCTTCTTTGAATAAACATTCTATAAGAATTTCTTCTGTGAACTGGTTGTGATATAATTCAATTAAAATACTTTATAGCTTTTAAAGGAAAGAGTACCCCCCCCGGGGGGTTAGAGCTGCTAAATTTTCACTTAGCATATCCTTTGAATTTTTCAGTTCCATATAAATTTCTGAGAATAAATACATATATTTATTATTATATTTAGCTGTGTGTGGAATATGAAACTACGTCGAATTAAAAAAGGGGGGAACATAAAATTAAGACCCTGCAGGATAACGCAGCACGGCGAGAAGAATATTGGTGGTGATTGTGTGATCTGATTTTCAATTTGATCGAGAAAGAAATAATAAATGAAGAGTATGGTCAAGAAAAAAAAATCCAAAAATGCTTTTTAAATGACCGAAAGAGATGAGAACTTAATAACAAGAAGCTTGTCCCAGGAAAAAAAAAAGAATGGCCAGAAAAAAACGAATTAATGATGAACACGACACAGTCAAACTTTGATTTCGATTTTATTTCATTCATCCACTATTCTTATAATCTATCATTTTCATTCATTTGTTCAGTTGAATCAATAAATCATTAAATTAATATATTGACTGGTTTATTAAAATGATTTATTCATAATCAATTTAATCACGGTTTAACTATGATTTTAATCAAGACAAATTTATCAGCGATCAAACTGATAAAATACCGCATCGGTGAGGTACCAAAATGAGGTTTTTATTTCATAGATTTTATCCCAACTTTGAGGGAATATAATGTGATTTTTCATAAACAAAGAGAAGGGCCAGATAAATCGGGCATCACTCAAGGGAGTAGAAACTATTTACCCTTATGCAATGTTTAATAAGTAGAAAATTGTTCTTTAAAAGATATATTTCTCAATTTTCTCTTTAGAAGCACTCTTTCATGTATTAAACATGCACTTATTTATTTGGTAATTGAACCATTCATATGGAGGAAAGAGAAAAGTGGGAAAAACCTCTCATCCCAATAAAAGGTTAAGTATAGAATTGGATCAAAGTTCCCTTTCATTTATGCAATGTTTAATAGTTAGACAAATGTTCTCTTGAAAGAAAATGAGAAACATACCTATCTCATTTTATTCCTAAATTTATTTTTCATTTTCTTTCTAGAAAATAGTACTCTTTCATATATCAAACATGCACTTATTTGTTTGGTAATTGAACCACTCATACAAAGGAAAGAGAAAAGTGGGAAAAACCTCTCGTCCATATAAAATGTGAAATATAAAATTGGATCATAGGCCTGCCTTCATTTAGACCATGTTTGGTATAGGGGGAATCATAAGAAGGAAAATGTAAATAGAATAG